TGATGGAAAGTGGTTATCGTCGCCTACCATGGACATAACAGAGTATACTGTTTCGCCCATGATACCCCCCATGCATTGCCATTCCTGAGGACTCAGGTGTTATTCCTCTGTACTCAGTAATTTTACGCCATATCCCACCCTTCAAACAGAAACACAGCCATGCAAACTGCTTCACGGTAGAAACACGAATGGTACCCAAGCAATCGACTTTTGTACAAAGTCTCCCTCTGGTACTTCTAGTAATTCTTCCCTTGTGGGAAAGGCTAATATTTAGTAATGGATAGTTAACGAGATTGTTAATAATGGGAAGGTTAGCCTTCATTGCTATCAATATATCCTTTTTTGGAAATGTCTAAGAAAATTAATGCGACTAATTTATCGTTGAATTTGTCACGATGGGCTAACTGACCTGTCTTTTAATCCTTCCTCATCCTTTTTCATCCTCACTGGTGCTCCACCAGTGTATACTAATGGCGCAGGTGGGGTCCCCATTCCATTATCACCCATTACAGAAAAGTGATATCTTATTGGATGGACCGGTTTGAACTATATAATGTAATTGTTTGACTATCATATTTGCAAATTAGTGGCGTTTTAGTGGAAAATATTTTTTTTCTTTTACCTAATTTTTTTAATCAATTTAATTAAATTAACTTTCAATTAGTGAAAATTAGCCATGTGCATGTCAGAATTTTCTTTTATTATTTGCCTTTCAATATATAATATTAGGTTTTTTTTTTAACTATGTCAGTATTAATATGTTGAAAATAATGAAAATTGTTGAACTGAGCTAATGGTTGTTGTAGGTCCTACCCGTGTCAAACTGTCGAAAACAAGAACAGACGAAGGTAGTTAAAATTGAACCCTTCGTTGACCAGGACTGATTGATAACTGATGACTTTTAACTTGTAATCGATTGATAGATAGTATTGAATAAAAAAAAAATCACTATCTTATTTTTATTTCCAATTTTTTTTAATGAAAATTAATTCCGCTTCCTTGGCTCTTTGTATATTTCGAGATTTATTACTTTATCTAACTTGTTAACCGAATGGTAAACAAGTTGACGTTTCACTTAATGGAAAATGGTAACCGTCGCCTATAAATATGGCTAGCTGTATCTCGTGGCTTCGTCCACGTGGATAAGTGCATAAATTATCCTATATGTTAAGTTAGCATATAACCTACCCGTGTACCAAATTTCATTTAAATCCGTTTAGTAGTTTTTTGCGAAAAAATAAAAGTCTATCCATCTGGGTAGATGGATGTTTTTTACTATTTCACTTCTATTTTCTTTCTACTTTTGACCATTAGAAAATTTCACATTTATTACATTAATTACACAGAATGCATCAAGATGCTCACGATACCCTTTGATGTTATACCACAATACATACCTTTATCATATCAGTCGTTAAATGTCCAAAATTGAACACAGGCCTATTGGGGGGCTTTGTCAGTATTTTTTTTTATACAACTTAGAATAGCAAACAAGCTGACGGCCCACCGGATGGAAAGTGGTAACCGTCGCCTATAGACATGAGCAGTACCATGGACATAATAGAGTATACTGTTACGCCCATGATACCTTCACATGCGTTGCCATTCTTGAGGACTCAGATGTTATTTCTCTGTACCCAATAAATTTACTACCATATCCCACCCTTTAAACCGAAACACAGACATGCAAACACAACTGCATCACGGTAGAAACTCGAATGGGACAGAGGTACCCAAGCAATCGGCTTTTGTACAAAGTCTCCCTCTGCCGCACTTGCAACTACTGACTGCGGGTTGGCAACCGCAGTTAGACTTTGGTGATGTTTTAAAAAGGCCGCTGATGCGTTTATTTTAATGGATGATAATGGAATGGTTACCCCGTCTGCGCTATCGGTATACGCTGGCGGGGCACCAGTGAGGGGTGATAGGTGAGGATGAAAGCAGGCCAGTTAGCCACACATCGTTACGAATTTCACAAGAATTAACCACGATGGTTTCCAGGGAGAACTACGTAGAGGTCGACCTGATAGGGTGTATTGTAAGTAATGGGGCTGTTAGATCCCATTACTAACAATCCCTTCCCCCCCGTCGCTGATGCGTTGCCCATCCCTCGACCATTTAGTTTCCCTTAATTGCCTCTTACAACACTTACAGAAAAGGAAGTGGTGGCCTACTCTATGCCGGGACTACACATCACCTTTGTACGTTGTAATTTCAAAGGTATTAGAAAAAGTTTTCAAATTGACGTCCAAGGATCACAGATAACACAATACATATAATGTCCCTGTGCTGATTGTGGGCTGTGGCAAGATTTCGCTCAAGTGATACTTATTACATTATAGTGCTTAATTATACGCGACTTTGTTACCTTGCCCACGTGACCAGGATATATAAATATTGTTTTAAACATTATTAACTAAATGAAAATATGGTATAAAAGGCGGGCCTAATGACTGAATGACTGACATAGATTGACTGGAATAAAAAATATCCTTTATCCAAAACATTAAATTTGTGCTAAATTAGTCGTTAAAAAGCTAGGATATACTAGTGGGAGACTTTTTACAAAAGTCGTTTGCTTGAGCACTTCTGTCCTATTTGTGTTTCTACCGTGAAATAGTTTTGTTTGCATGACTGTGTTTTGGTTTGAAGGGTGGGATATGGCGTGAATTTACAGAGTACAGAGGAATAACACCTGAGTCCTCAGGAATGGCAACGAGTGAGGGGTATCATGGGTGAAACAGTATACTCTGTTATGTCCATGGTGCTGCTCCTGTCTATAATCGACGGTTACCACTTTCCATCAGGTGGACCGTCAGCTTGTTTGCCATTTTATAGTTGCATAAAAAAATATAACAAACATAAACAAACTATGAAAACCATCGTGCTAAATCCCAGGTGTATACTTTACGATGGGCTAACTGATCTGCCTTTTCATTTTTAACTATCATCCCTCTTTGGTGCCCCGCCAGTGTATATCGTTGTCATTTCTATTCCATTATCATCCATTATAGAAAAGTAATATTATAAATTTAAAGGTATGTTCGTTATTGTTTAGCGCCTTAATAGCTTAATCAATCACTATGAAATCTAGTACACACGTACTAAATGTATGGAATGGAGAAGGAAATAAGCCTTAGATCATGTGGATTAAGTTGCGGGTAAAAATTTGTGATTTATTAAATCACTGATAAGTGAATTAGGAACCAATTAGCAATTTAATAAATTCAATTTTCTAAGTCTTTATTCTCAATTAACTCAAGGATAGTAAGTGCATGCCAAGTATTTAGATTATTAGTGATTCGTATTTTTTGCACTGGAAACCTATTAAACAGGAAACGCCTCTATGAGACTTGTACATATTTCTTTCTTATTCAATAGTTTTAAATAACATCTAATGCTACCAAGCATTGAACTTTACAATTTGTAATCTTTACTAATATTATAAATGTGAAAGTGAGTTTGTTTTTTTGTTGTCTTACACTTAACCAATCTTTGTAAAATTTTATTTACACATAGGTACTATATAGGATGGAGAAGGATTTAGACCACTTTTTATCCAGTATAGTAAACATATCTCATCACACGAGCGTAGTCTGTGGTAAAGGGTAGTAACTTATAAATCATCATCATCATCTCAGGCATTATCCGTCCACTGATGAAAATAGACCTCTCCCTTAGACCGCTATAAAGAACGGTCCTAAGCTACCTGCATTCACTGGCTCCTTGCAATTCAATTGAGGTCGTTATTTCATCTAGAGGGGCGGGAGAGGGTCGTCGTCCTACACTGTATTTGGCCGCACAGGGTCGCCACTCAAGATCCATTCTTTCCCATCGTTAGTCGGTTCTTCGAGCTATGTGACCAGCTAATTGCCACTTCAGCTTGCTTATCTTTCGGACTATGTCGGTGACTTTGGCTCTTTTTCGGATATCCTCATTTCGGATTCTAATACAAAAAGAAACTCCGAGCATAGCTCTCTCCATAGCTCGCTGAGTAATTTGAAGCTTTTGCATACCGGCAATCGTGTAGGACTATGTTTCGGTTTTTTTTTATGGGTGAAAATGGAATGCTAACCCCGCCTGCGCTAACAGGATACGCTGGCGGAGTACCAGTGAAGGGTGATCGATGAGAATGAAAACAGGCCAGTTAGCCCATCATGATGAATTCATCAAGAATTAACTATGATAGTTTCCAGGGGAAACCGCGAGGAGGTCGACCTGGTTGGGTATATTGCTAGCAATAGGATTCTCAGTCTCCATTATTAACAATCCCTTTCCTCCCACTATGTTTCGGTTAGGTCATCACTGGCTATACACACTGGCTGAAGACTTACGTCTTCAAATTTTGACATATATTGTATGATAAGATATGGCATAGTTTTTCGAACACTATGACTAGTAAATTATAAATATCAGCAATTGTATTATAGAGTGCCATCTAGTTATAAACTAAACAGAGCTTGTACGTACTATGTACACTCGACGACAGATAGACATAAATATTTTTTTATGTAAATGTTTCGCTCAAACAAGGATTAAAGTATTGAGCTGCTATTGGTGAAGCATTCGTAGAAAGATAATATAATTAAAAGATAATTCACAATTGTCTCGTGTCTGCTTGTGCTTCTAACGTTTAACGTGGGTTATACCTTACAGATTGTTTAACGTTTATTTATAACAAACTTGTAGACTTTCGTTACAAAACCTATAAATAAAGTTTTATCTCGATTTAATGTAGTTAGTTCACCATTCACTACAATGTCAGTCGACGAAATGCCTTCGATCGCTATTGGTCATTATGGGATTGCAGGCGTAAGCATAACTTTTTTTTATATTGGTACAAATATCCGCGCATATCTAATTAATATTGCAAGGTCATTGGCAACGCTCTATGTCATATTGTTGACGTAGTTAGTAGAAAAGGAAACGGAAAACATTGTAGATAATAATAAATTATTACCTTAAATTAATTAATTAATTTAAATAAAAAAATAAAAGTATCATCGCATTGATAACTTTATTGCATTAAATTGAAATATTCAAGTCATATTAATATTATTATAAAAACATTTGATTAGATAATCGAGACGCCAATTTATAAAGTTATTTTTTCATCAATCAGTTATGTTGTTTACCAGCCTAAACGTGCGCCATATCCGAGACCTGGGCCATAGCCGTAACCAAGTCCCGCTGCGTAACCCAATCCGGCGCCGTAACCTAATCCAGCGCCATAACCAAGTCCTGCACCGTAACCGAGTCCAGCTTTATAACCAAGTCCGGCTCCGTAACCCAAGGCGGTTCCATAACCAAGTCCACTAGCGTAACCACCGTACGCTCCAGCGCCGTACCCATATGCGCCATATCCACGAGGAGCGACATTACTGTACGAATTGGCGTAACTCACAGCACCCTGGGCGTAAGGAGACGCGTAACCACTATAACCGGAGTATACTGGAGCTGCATATCCTACAGGACCCGATGGATGCACCGAGAGACCATCCTTGCGAACGACAGCGTTGAAACCAGTGACGGGATTAGCAGAGTAGTCCACGATGCGTTTGGTGCCATCAGATTCGAGAAGTGAGTATTGGCCTACAACATTGCCGCCCACACGGGTTTCTTGTTGGTTCTTGACATCGCCAGTATGGGGATCAGATACGCCATATGAGAAACTGGAATAGTCACCGCCGGGAACACTGCCATGGACAGCAACGGCCAGTAATGCGAACACTGTTACCTGTTGATATAAAAAAAAAATAATGGACAAGGAATATACGCCAGATAGTTCCAATTGTGTTTAAAAATGAATTACATATTAATACAAATCAAAACAATTGTTTTTTAAGTGAAATAAAATTTTGAATTAAACTTTGGTAGATGGACACAATAATCCGCCAGCTGAGCTTTGAGGCCTGACCATTAAGGATATTGATTGGGACATTGGGAATAATCGATGTTAAAATTTCTGTTTATTGTATGAAGTCTTTATTAATTGAATGAATGTATTTACGTACACAAGTTTATATTTAACAATTTAGAAGGGAATTTGCTATTTAATTAATAATTACTGTAACATTTTCTATAAGATCTTTCCGTGAATTTCTTTTAAAATTCCTTAATTAGAATACGTTCGTACTATCTAAAAAAAGTATCTAATTTTAACATTCTTGAACGCAAACCTATATTTCTTTCGCGGCTAATTGAGATAGCTAATTAAAATGAGGTCGTTTGCAATCGCGGTCAATTTAACTAAATATATTACCTTTGCGAACATTTTGCTTGCTGTTTCTACTGCAACTGATGAATGATGTGCTTTGTTACTGCTTTTATACTAGGCTAATGTAAAATTTGCATTCATTACTAAATCAAATTTTTGAAGGAAATATGTGAGAGATACCTACCTACTGCTACCTACTGTAGCTAACAAAAGGAAATGTTCGTCCTTTTTTTTGCTGTATTAGCTGATTACAATTTTAAATCAATTTAGATATTTATTTTGCAATTGTTATAGTTTAGTTCAGTATAGGTACTTATTAATCTGGCTTTCTTTTCGAATTAATATCCTGTTGATTGAGAAGAAAATTAAGATTTTTGCGCATATATTGTTAACTTATGTAATCTGTATCATTCTTTGATGGAAACAATAAATGATTATTTATCCATTTCATTCGTTCAGTCATTCATTCAAAATCTAGATACTAAATTCAAATATATGCAATCTAATCTACGAAACATCTCGATGTTTTATGTAGTTAATTAATTCGCATTGCAGTTTGCAGATTTTTAGGTTCGTATTGGTTACATTGGTCCTTCTTCAGATGTATGGTTTCGGATTCTATTACGCATTCCATTTCGTGTTCATTTTACTTCGCTTAATATCGATTTCAATTCATAGTCCATGAATTCATATCATTTCATGTTCAAAAGTTAACATTATAGACGATATTTTCAAAAGGGTTAAAGCATGCTATCAATAAATACAATAACATTTGTAACATCACAGCAAGTAGTTTAGTACAAATACTCTTTGTTTTCATAGATATTGAAATACATGTTGAAGATTGCAACCTTCTTTATTTTAATAGCCATATGTTCTTTTTATTTTATCAGTCACTGTTCTTCTTTTGTTTCTTTTCATTGCTTAATTTTCTATGAAATACAGGGAAGCAATTTATTATTAAAAAGACAATTATTTATTTAATATTTACTAGAAAACTGGGAAATCCATCATAATCCCCATCATGGCTCGAGCTTCTTTTCTATGGGTAGATTTATCTCTACCTAATATTTGCCCTATTGATAGCTAGTATACCCTATCAAGTTGACCTCCACGCGATTCCTTCAAGAGATAATTTTAGATGTTCTTTTATGAATTCATCACTATGGATTAACTGACCTGTTTAATCCTCATCCCTTACTGGTGTCCCACCATTGTATATCTTTATTGCAGGCGGGGTTTTTATTTCATTACCATCCATTACCAAAAACAATACAGTCCTGTTGCTACTCGAGTGTGGGCGAAGCCCTCTAGTAATAAGAAATTCTAGGTCATTTTTGTTATACACGAAGGCCTCAGACATGGCTTACCGGACGACGGTTTTACGTACCATTAATTTATAACAGTAATGTTAGTAGATGGACGATACAGGTACTTCGTACCCAAATGAAAAGCAAACGCGCTATAGTACTTCTAATTTTTTACTTAAATTATGTAATCTCCTTTGAGATTCATAACTCTTTCACCGTGCATCTCTCAAGGCAGTTTTGCTCATAATTCGGTTGCCAACCCGCCTGTCAAGCGTGGCAACTACTGACAAAACCCTCATTATGGAAAAGGCACAGTAGTGGGCAGTCAACGGCTTTTTTTTAAGCAACTGAGATTGACAAACAAGCTGACGGCTCACTTGATGGAAAATGGTAACCGTCCCCATAGGCATGAGCAGTACCATAGGACATAACAGAGTATACTGTTTCACCCATGGTACTCCCGTGCGTTGCCATTTCTGAAGACTCGGGTGTTATTCCTTTGTGCCCCGGAAATTCATTGCCATATCTCACCCTTTAAACTGAAACACAGTTATGCAATCACTACTGCATAGTAGAAACACGAATAGGACAGAGGTGCCCAAGTAAACGACTTTTGTACAAGGTCTCCTTCTGGTGACGGCTGATATAATAATAATATCTGTCACGTCTGTCTCTCATTAGGGTAGGCAGAAACGATGGAACGCCAAATTTTACGATTCAAACAAACCTCTTTCGCTTCTTCCACATTCATCAATCTTTTCATACACGCTCGCCGGTTACGGGTACTTTTAATTAAGCCCTTCTTCAGCACGTCGCCTATTTGATCAATAAACATTGTTAGTTAATTTTAAACTTTTGTGTTATTTACACATATTTTGGAGTCCCGATTGCGTATTTAAAAACATTTTTAATGCTTTTGAATTTTTGTTTCACGTTTTATATGTACTCACACCACCAAAGACTTCGATTTCACATTGTACATATACATGTATGTCAAACAGAATTTCTCAGAATTGAAATGGGAACACAGCGACTGTCCTGATCCATTTGAAAGTGTAATTTATTCAGAGGTCTGAAATGACTCAAAGGTCTGCAGATGAGGTTCCAAAGTTTATTAGGCAATATGTATTCAAAGTCTCGCTTTTCAATTGCTCTGTTTATTTAAACTAAAATTACCAAGGTTAAACTTATTAGTACAAAATGGTCATCGTAAATTTTAATGCACAAAAACATAAAAAAAAAGAAAAAAAGGTGCAAATTTATGAATTTATAGAATAACTAGCTTTTACCCCCGACTTTGTTTACGTCACTGGAATATATTCACTTATCGAGATAAAACTAGCCTATGTCCTTTTTCATCCCATATAGTACATTAATATCAAATTTCGTAGTGATTGGTTAAGTTACTGAGATGCTAAGACATGACAATTAACAAACTAACAAACAAACTCTATTTTACATTTACAATATTAAATAAGCAAAGATTAGCTAAGCTCGTGGCTTCGTCTGTGTAATTTGAAAATTAATCTACTTTATCTTGAATATGACTTCTTTATAAGGGAAAGTCGATATCAAAATTAAGCAAATGACTTAATATGATTAGTTGTAAGCATTATATTTATAAAATTTATTTTTTTTATGACTAATATACTCTATGTTTTGTCACTTTGTGACAGAGGATATTTTACCAATAAATACTGTAAAAGAATTGTAGTGGGTAAGAATTTTGAAGTCAAAATTGATCTTATTATCATAGCTGTTATTTTCTCATGATCAAATCTTTTAAAGTCTTTCTTCACAGTAATTTTTCTGTAGTCTAAGTGACTTGTCAGCAGCACCGTAATATAATGCTCAGAGTATAGTTAAATTCATTTCTTATATTGTCTCATAGGAACGAATCTACCACACCATTACACCATAGATGTCATCAGATCATTATAGAACAATACAGAATAGATAAAATCGCTTGCCTAGACACAAACAATGTAGTGGTAAGCGTATAAATAACAATTACATTCAACTGTGACTTAAATATTAATAATAATTTATTAAAATATTTTGTCTAATTATCACGTAAGCGAATGTTACTTAATATATATACATCGTTATAGTAACAATGATTTCGTTCTTTGACCCCCAAATTACACTTGGATGGCTCGCTAGAATATAAATAATAAAACATCGTGGGGTTACACCAGTGTCTAGTTGAAACTCGTCTAGTGTACAAGAACAACAATGGCCACTAAGGTAACAATAATATTTATTTATTTTTTTTAAATTTTAAATTTAGTACCACAAAAAATGTTGACAAAGTTAGTATAGGACAAATGTATAGGACAAAGTATCCTTGTGATTAAAAAAAAGATGTTGGAGAACGTAATTATCGTGTAATATGCAAGCAAAAGATGGAGTAGCAACGACGGAGGAATATTACTTGTCACCACACTTTTTTATTCTCATGATGTTAAAAACGACAAATAGTACCATGAGCAATATTTTTATTATTATTATTATATCAGCCGTTTATTGTCCACTGCTGAACATAGGCCTTTTCCATAAAGGGAGTTTTGTCAGTAGTTACCACGCTTGGCTGTCGGGTTGGTAACCGCAGTTAGGTTTTGGTGATGTCTTAAAAGGAATGGTGCTGTTCATCCTTTGACTCTAAAGTTCCCTTAATCGCCTTTTACGACACATACAGGAAAGGATGGCTTATTCTATGTCAGGACCACACGTTGATGATTAATATACTAGAGCAAAATAGTCATTGCTAATATCAGTATATGTATATGTATATATGTATATTTAATTCCTCTGGACAATGATGACAGAAAAAAGGTCATCACCTATTTGGATATCGCCCAAACCAGTCTGATATCTTATATTTATTTCGATATTATTTATTGGATAGTTGACAATTTAATATGTGTTATTGAACCCAATATATAAATATTATAACTACAATACTGCTATATATTATCTACCCCTAGTATAAAGAAAGGGGAATTCAGAATGCAATCCTATATCAAATCGCCTGAAGTAGGCTTTTAAGGCTTAAGCTTAGGTATTCTCTGTTTAAGAGAGACTTGTGACCAGCTGTGGGACATTAATCGGTTGTTATGGATTTACACAAAATTAGGATTAATTTGTAACCTCTCTTTTCACAGTTGGTTGAAATATCTATGTTAATAACTAATGTTATGAATGTTTAAAGTGTTTATTACCTCTTGACGGCGTACCTAATTAATCATTACGAAATTTGGGTTATACGCTATACTTGCGATAGAGAAAAACATAGGCTACAATATTTTTGTTTAGGTTAATCAGTATATTTCAGTTATCTGGAAGAAGTTACATGTTTAATTGTTTATTATTGCATCATGAGGTTATAAAGATGTTAATACATTAATTGATTGTCCTCTACATAAATCTTGTTAGGGTTTTGCAAATTTACATATATATTTATTAATCATGGAGATAATCACAATCTGTAAAATCTCATTTTTAAAACTACATAAAATTTGAAATTGTAAAAAGTAGAATTTTGCTTCCAATTAAAGTCCACTCTTCGTTTCGTTTTTGTAATAGAAAAACATTTTACAACAAAAATTTAAAAATAAATTTAAAATTAGTATAGAAATATTTGGTATATAAGACATATACCAAATATTTGTCATTAAATTCCAAAAATTACTTAATAATTGAAGTTGAGAACTGACGTACTGTTAGTAGACTAGTTTATTTTAAAGTTTCGTGTTTCGCTGGTAGTTTCCTTATGAGTTTGTTTATCACAATAAGTTAATAGATATAAAGAACAACAAATAACTGATTATTTGTATGACTAAAACAATACTATTTTTTTTAAAGGATGTAGTATGTTATATATTTTCCTTTTATATTATATACGAGTATATAACATATATACAACTGACTTACGTAACTATATATTTTTTGTTATGTAGTCCTAGCATAGGATAGGCCATCCCTTCCTTTCCTGTGAGTGTCAGTGTAAGAGGCGATTAAGGGAATTCAATGGTCGAAGGATGGGCAGCAGCATCCTTTTTTAAACATTATCAAAGTCTACCTACGGTTGCCAACGCGCTGCCAAGCGTGGCAACTACTGGCAAAGCATTCCTTATGGCAGAGGCCAATGTTCAGCAGGGGACAGTTAACGACTTAAATGATGGCGTTGATATTTTTTTTTACCCATAAACTTACATGTAAGTATAAACTTACATATGAAAATTATAGACATTATGTTATGTCATTGCAATTGTTTATTAAATATGCCTGTTATTATTTTTGCCATTACTAATATTAAATAATATTTTGTACCCTATTTGTATATGTATTTGTATATGTATATTGTTCATTCCAAATATTAACTGGTAAAAAATGCATTAAGTCTGCCTCTTGTACCATATTTCCATTCGGTCAACGTATTTAAATAAACAAATAATACAATAAATTAATTTAAAATGTATTTTAAAATCTAATGTATGTATTAATTTTTTTTTTGTTATAAAATGCCATTCAATGTTAAATACGCAAATAAATTAACAAAAAAAAGTAATCCACGAATTTATGAAATGACATAAAATATATCATATATTTTAATTCAGAATATGATATGCATTTGTGCTAAAGTTTATTAAAATTCGTTCAAATGAACGTGACTAAACGTAAAACGTGATAAACGTGACTGCGTACCAAATATCTTAACAACTTTTTTTTTTCTAAATCATTTTCATTTACAAATTTACAGTTATAGAGAATATGTTATTTGAGAATATATATCCTTAATGTCCTCCACAATGTGATTAAATTAGTTAAAATATGTAATTTATTTCAAATTTTATGCAAAGAAAGAGACAAAAACTGTTGAAGAAGACAATAAAAATATCTACTTTATGCGTCTTAAAAACATTTTCCGATACTCGAACGAGGTTCATTATCCCGGGATTTAACTTAAATCTCTGTTATCCCGGGTTTGGAAGTTCATTTAAAATCATTTTACGGGGAGACATAAAGACACATAACACTTTAAACCTTGCAACGGTGCTGCGAGCTATTGGAAACATAGATTTATTTTATATAGATAGATCGATGGATTATATTATGTAAATTATTAACATACATAACAAGATACAAGGGTAGTATGTTTACTTTATTAACAATAAAATATATTATTATATGAAATAAATGGCAATGAATTTAAGAAAAAATGTGAAAATACAAATAAAAACATTTTATTTTTAAAAATTACTTGAAAACAAAACAATATAAATATGACATATATATATATATGCATTCATATTTTCCGTTAACAAAGTTTATTTTGAGTGGGAAATTTTATCAAAATGTAGTTTTCATTATTTAAAATGCTCACTATAACTACATTTCACTGCAGGATATAGTAAAATAAAAAGTAAAGGTGTTTACTTTCATGCATAAATGTGTTTTGAATTCATGTAACCTTAGTTTTTGCCCGCAACGGGGGTTATCATGGGCGAAACATTATATCATTTCTATAGACGACGGTTACCACTTTCCATCAGGTGGGGCGTCAGCTTGTTTGCTATTCTAAGCTGCATAAAAAACAACTTCATACATGTAAATTTTGCAAGTACGTAACCGCTTCTAGATGGTATATCAAGATAATACATACATCAGATTTTAAGTTAGACCTTCAACAACATAATAATTTAATTTGGTGTAGTTGTTTGTGCGTCATATCGGAACAAAGATATATTAAGATAGACATACAGACAGATAAAAATAAAAAAATGTCTTGGCTTCTATTGATCATATTAGGACCACCTGTATTAATTTTCTTAAATATTTCCTATGCACAGACTTAATAATCATAAAATGCCAATAAGATAATAATAATATAGATATGTAGATATTAAAACTGTTACAAATTATATATATATATATATATATATATATATATATATATATATATATATATATATATATATATATATATATATATATATATATATATATATATATATATATATATATATGTATATGTATATATATGTATGTGTGTGTATTATTAAAATAATATTTTTCTTGCAGTTTGTTATAGTTGCAATGTTGGTGGCTGCAGCGCAAGCCAGCGGGGGCTACTCCAGTTTCTCATACGGAGTACGAGATCCAAACACTGGTGACGTCAAGGATCAACATGAGAAACGAGTTGGCGACAGTGTAGTTGGCCAGTACTCGCTGCTGGAGTCCGACGGCACTAAACGCGTCGTCGATTACGCTGCCCACCCTCAAACTGGATTCAACGCTGTAGTCCGCAAAGAAGGTCTATCTGTGCACCCTGCTCCCGTTGCCCCTGTTGCTCCCGTTGCCCCCGTTGTCTCCCATGCCGGCCCTGTGTTCCCCCATGCTGCCCCTGTCCTTTCCCATGCCGCCCCTGTCCTCCCCACGCTGCCCCTGTACTTCCCCATGCTGCTCCTGTAGCGTATAACGCACATGTGGCCCCCGTCGCGTACTCATCTACCGTCGCGCATGGTTACGCTCCTCATACCTACTCCGGCCTCGCTTCTCCTCTAGCGTATGGGGGATACGGCGGCTATGGCGCATATGGAGGTTACCCTGGATATGACGCTGCCATAGGCGGCCTTGGTTATGGCGGATACGGTGCCCGTTTGGGTTGGTGATTTTATTTGTGACCTGACTTATTTTTACAACGACATTGTATGGTACTTCAAATGACTGTGATCTGGTATAGGCAAGAGTTATGTGAATAAAGTTCCTATAAATGATTACGTTATTATTTATTTGTTTTGCTTTCAACAATAGTGTAATTTATAAATAAATTATATCATTGTTTTAGATTATCAGCTAGCTCTTGCGATGTTTTCATGGGAATGAGATCTTTACCCGCAATAAGTATGACCTTTATAATAATATAATAATTATTAGTTTATGAATTTAATGTCACGAAATACGTCGAAAAAATTATAAATACTTGAAAAATGGTGTTTTGACATCTATATTATATATCTATATAACTATTTCACCATAATAATTTTTTTTGATGGGTCAATATGGTATGGTGACTTCGCCTGCGCTAACGGGATACGCTGGCGGAGCACCAGTGAAGGGTGATAGATGAGAATGAAAACAGGCCAGTTAGCCCATCATGATGAATTCATCAGGAATTAACGATGATAGTTTCCAGGGAGAACCGCAAGGAGATCGACCTGGTTGGGTATATTGCTAGCAATGGGATTCTTAGTTTCCATTACTAACAATCCCTTTCCCCCCACCATAAGAATTTTGATAAAATATAGGAAGAAAATTTTCTTTCTAGCGTTCCTCTTTAGAACATCATGAACACCCCCTTCCCCCAGTTTGCCAACCTGCCTACTAAGCATGGCAGCTACTGGCAAAACACCCCAATAGAGGGAGGCCTATGTTCAGCAGTGGACAGTAAACGGCTGATACGATATAATAAAAATTGGATAATATATGTTACAGACATTGATACAGCTATTTTAACATTACCATATAATAAAAATATAATTGCAATGTTTATATATGTTACATATACCTGTTAATACATCACCTATAAAATAAGATAAATGGATAAGTATTTATTTTAATATTTTTGGTACAATTAAAACACCAAACAACTTAATGGAAAATCAAACAGGATACTATTCATAAAAATTGATGAATATTTATGTTTGTTTATTTGTGTGTGTTTGATTAAAAACAAATTATGTATATCGAGAGTCAATACTATGGATTGAAAAATAATCAAGATATTGCATAATATGGTTGACAATTTAAAGATCCCTTCTAATAATGTCAATCGTATTATGTAATTATTATAAAAGTAATTAAATCGTAAAGGAAAACAGCAAATAAATTATAAAATTTGTGTATTTTGTATATAATCACAGCAGTTCCGTCATGTATGACAAGGTCATAATTTATTCTATTTACATAAAATTTTACTCTAATACAGTTTAGTAGCCCAAATGCGAGCCGTAGAAACCATGTCCAGCGCCGTAGGCGATGGCACCGTGGGCGAAGGGAGCTGCGACGGCACCATGAGAGAAAGGCGCGGCGATGACTCCATGAGCAAGAGGAGAGGCGATGGCACCATGGGCGTAGGGAGCGGCGTAGGCTAGAGGGGCGGCGCGGGCGGCGTATGCGACGGGAGCAATGGGGGCAGCATGGGCGACGACGGGGGCGGCATGGGCGACGACGGGGGCGGCATGGGCGACGACGGGGGCGGCATGGGCGATGAGAGCAGGGTCTCTCCTGACGACGGCGTTGAATCCAGAGTGAGCGTTAGCGGCGTAGTCGACGGTGCGTTTTGAGCCGTCAGACTCAAGGAGAGAGTACTGTCCGACCACACTATCGCCAACACGGGTCTCGTGCTGGCTCTTCACGTCACCGGTGTGTGGGTCGGATACTCCGTAAGAGAAGCTGGTGTAGTCGTGCACGGCGCTGCCATGGGCGGCCGCCACCATCAAAGCAACAACGACGAACTGTAAAAACAAACACGTCGTTTAGTAGGAATATATTTCATTTGGACCAGGTTATGGGCATATCTTTATTTAAACTAGTTTCATTTTATGATTACGTTTTTATGAGTACGATTTTAGGTTTTTAATACCCATTATTTAGAATAAAACATTATATGTGTTATTCTTTTCCAGTTTAAGTAATTATATAGGTATAATGACAATATCGCGTTAAGTTTGGAAATATAACTTAGGAGTATAAATTAGCTATATTTCATTATTTCGTAAATTAAGAGTAGTTCATATGTTAATCTAGATATGGTCTATCTGTGCACTAAATTATATTCAAATCCATTCAGTCGATTTAACACGATAGAGTAATCAATATCCAAATATCTTTACAAAATAAGGAATTGAAATTTTCATATTTTATTAATATGAAAATTTGTAAGAACGTTTGGATATTTGTCACAGCGAATTTAAATATATTTTCTCGCATACAGACTGACCATAATTATACTAGGTTAATACAGGATAACTTAACAATATAATTCTTATTCACGTGAACAAATCAACGGAATACAGGTTAAACCCCTTGTTCATAAGAACGTCAAATCTCTCACAAACCTATTTTAGCTATTGAACTGTTTTGTTTCTTTCTTTTACACTAAATTCCCAGTTTAAAAGAAAGTAACAGAACAGTGTAATAGTTAAAGTAGATTTGTAAAAGATTTTATTTTTTATAAATAAGGGAGTAGGACTACATATTACACCATTGCCCGAAAATATTCAACATTATCATCACAGGTGAAGATGAAGATGAAAGATTGAAGTGATGATTAAAATACGTAAACTTGTAATTAACAACAAGATCCGGTTGAAACGTAATTGTGAAACCGTTAAATTTATCAAGGGCTTAACACTTTAAATACACTGAACACAATCGCCCTTTACCTTAGCTGCCATTTCGATACGTTTGTTTTAGTGGCACAGTGAACTGCGAATGATTTATTCCTGAATTTGTTACTGTTTTTATATACGTCTCGTACAATCGTTGTGTGCTATAATAGGAAGTAAGAGACAGTCAATATGAACTCTAGGTCACGCCCAGCAAGGGTTTTTTTGAGAGTATTTGGTCAGTGAACGACCAATGCGGAACTTTATAGTAATGTAATATTGCTTATTGATTCATGACGTAAAATATATAGCGATTTAATGATTGAATCTCAAGTAATACGCATGAAATGAAAAATATTTACTTATTTTATATATTTTCCTTTTTTTTTGTATATGTGCTCTTTTATTTCTGTTTTTTTTTTTTTTTTAGAATTTAAATGCTCGAATATCTACACATATATTATTTGTAGATATTCGAATATACATTAAAAAAAATAAAAGGCATATACATATATGTCTTTTGTTATTTTTGTGATATAAATCTATTGTATCTTAATATTTTATTTAACTGTATATTTATTTATGTACTCTAAACATTAATAGTTGTAGCACTTCAGCTACCTGCTAACAACATGTTTTCTAACTGCATTAGGTTGACTGGAAGAGATCTCTGTCAGAGATAAGGCCACCCTTGCTCACAATATTTATAAATGCATTAACAATGTAATTTACAAGTGCAATAAAGAATATAAATTATGCAAATAAATTATATCTAATAATCGTAGTAAAATTCCAAGTTTCTAGTGGGTAAAAGGAATTAAAATAGTGTTCTTTTTTGAAAGGATTTTTTTTAATGTCAGCGACTGACTTTTTTGGACAATTCATATTGTTCTTTTTTTTGTATAAAATAGAGTTTCATCATCATCATATCAGCCTTTAACTATCCACTGCTGAATATAAGCCTCCCACTTGGGAGGAGTAGTTTTGGCAGATTGGCGGTTGCCAGCAATCTGGTTTTAAAAATGTTTTAAAAAGGACGCTACTGCCCATCCCACGCCCTTCTTTAGTCGCCTCTTATGAAATCCACGGGATAGGAAGGGGTGGCTAATTCTATGTCGGGACCACACAGCCAAAACAGAGTTTACTTTTATATAAATATTATCACAATTTTTTTTTAGAGTTTCAAACGATATTTGTTTATTTATTAAAAAATATACATAATGAAATATTAAATTTTAAACGCGACTTCATCAGTGAGCGGGATATGTTGATTGACTAGGATGAAACGTAGATTATGTTCACATTCGTTCGGAATATAGTACTATGTGAAGTATATTTGAAATTTCATGACGATTGGTTGAACTATGAAAGTGTTAAGTGTGTGTAGATGTACCTACCTAATAAATTACCAAAGAAACAATAGCTACAATTCTTACTAATAAGTTTGGTTTATATACGTGACTTCAACATATATAGAGTTCAATGTTCGCATAGAAAAGAGCTTAGTTTGTTTTCAAATTTACGCTCTTTATAATTAGTTGCATAAAGTACAGTTACAATTTTTTAAATTTATATTCAACGAGGAAATATCTGCATTACCATCAGTCTCCAAACTAGGCCTGTATCTTGGGGAAAATTGATATCGCTGTTTTTTTGTTTAACAAAATCTAAAATTACTTAGATATTTGTCCCTATTCAAGTAGTTTCAGAGTAATAAATCTCTTTGTAACCTACCTTTCTCATGTTTTGGAATCCTTGATTCCATTATCGTATTTCAATAGGTATCTTATTTCTTGTGGTCTGTAGACTAAGAATTATATAGTGGTATTTTTGTATAAGTGAATGATATAAGATAGGTATACTATAATAACTAGTAACAAGAAAGAAGAAACAAGAAAGAAAGAAATATTTTTGTTCAAGTGAACTTATAATTAAGCATTTTTGTCATTTGTGTAATAGTAATTTTTCATTACATTAACATTTATTTTGGAATGAATTTCAACTTCTTTTGAACATAAGCCTCCATTTACAAAATTAAATTAACCTTAGCACATTTTTTTTAATCAACTTAGAATGGAAAACAAGCTGAAGGCCAGCCTGATGGAAAATGGTAACCATAGACATGAATAGTAACGGAGTATATTATGTTGCCCATGACATCCTTCATGAGTTTCCATTCTTGAGGACTAAGGTGTTATGCCTCTGTACCTTGTAATTTCATTGCCATATCCTAACCTTGAGACCAAAATACAGCCATACAAATACAACTGCTTCTTGACAGAAACATGAATAAGACAGTAGTAAAACAAACGAATTCTGTACAAATTTTCTGTTTGGTACAACATGTAATAATGTGAACAATTTATTAAAATTATTACATTAATATTGCGAGATCCTTTATACAAAAGTAGACTTAGAATATGTAATTATATAATAAAGTATTCTAAAAACATATTTAAATAACTACATTGAATACACAATGTAGTAAAAATTATTACAATTGAGCTATTTAAATTCAATTGAAGTGTAATAATTAAACACGGTGTGTGAATTTGTTGCAACCACTGTTGTGTACCACTGACCTTAGCTATTTTTTTAACAAACTTCAAAAAATGGGAATGTTGAAATATTTTTCGACAATTTTATCATCAGTATACTTTTTTTTTTTATGAACGCCTGTAATAACAGGGACATTACAAGCTCGTTGCTGACTCTGAAGAAACCTCTAACCATTTTTTGAAGAACCCCATGCTGTAGTCTCTTAGAAAAAAGATGACGTGGAGCTGATTTCATAACTTGAGCGATTGTGGTGAATTTCCTGTAGACGGTGAGCTGTTCGATGGTAGAAACAGAAAGAAGAAGAATGCAAATCAGAAGAATTCGTATCTCTCTCTCTCTCTATGTTTATATATCATCCAGGTTATACGCTATAGGTTTGCGTTTTCATTTTAAGAATGGGGTATAGCAATGAAATTGTAGTGTGTGGAAGTCTAGTACCTTAACTCACAGGAATGGCCATGCATGAGGTGTACCATGGGCATCACAACATATTCTGTTCTGTTCACGGTGTTGCTCAAGTCTAAATAGGTGACTGTTACCAATTTCGTCAGTCTGATTACTACTCTAAATTTGGATAAAATGTGTTCTTTTTATTTATTTAATACTATTTGTATCCCACGGATTCACCCGCGTTGATCAGCATTTAAAGTATCATATGTGCTAAGTTTGTGTACTAAATTTCATTCAAATTCATTTAGTAGATTTTACGCACAAGAATAAAAAAAAAAACAATCATTCATCTGGACTGATGGATTTTTGTTATTCTTTCCCATCGTTACAAACTTTCGCTTTTACGAGTGTAATATTAATAGGATCTTTAGCATATTTCTAGTCCTCTACTACTTTATTAGTAGTCCAGTCTATTGAATCACTTGGAATTTTAATTATAAATATTACGATTACACCTTGAACTAAACAATTAAGGATCATTACTGCGAAATAATATAATAAAGTTGTATTTGTATGTATATTTATTTATATTATATACAAATTTATGCACATGAAGTAAAATATTATATAACTTTTAGTCATAGAACTGGTTTCATTGTGAATATTACTAAATATATGGCCGCAGCAAGACCTAACAGTATGCAAGGTTAACTACTCCGGTCACCAATTATGTCTTATTATGTGATATCAGCTACAGTTATTCATAGCAATAGAATGTTCCCTGCAGACGTATTTACCGACGTTTCGATCCACGTTTGCTGTTACTAGCAAGAGCTTTGTCAAGCTGTTGATATTGCAACGGCAATGTACTCTACGTCAGCAAGATACGACTATCCAAATACATAAGATGTAATATAATACATTTTAAATCTCGGTGTCCATTTTCGTTGCCTTATATTAAATGTCTATGTAGGTTGAATCATTTTTAAATCCAAGGATTTGCAATATGGATATTAGGAAAAGATTGAACTAAAGATGTTCTAGATATAGCTACTGGTGCTTGAGTAACACTGGCGACAGTTGGTGATGGCCAGGGTCGAATATTGTGAGTTCCAAAATCGTTTTGAAATGCGTTATCGTTTATTTCTGGTCGTGGTTGATTAATTGGTCTTCCATTATTGTTGACTGTTGCTTGGAATCCTGTATGATCATCAGCTCTGTAATCAACTGTTCTTCTGATTCCATCAGGTTGTAGTAGAGAATATTGGCCAATTACAGTATCCCCTCGACGTAATTCATGCTGATTTTTCACGTCTCCTGTATGTGCATCATTAACTTCATAGGCAAAGTTGTAATTGGGAGTATGGTGGTAGTCTATTCCATAAAGAATGGGTACAGGTTGATGCAAAACCGTGCACGTTATCGACAGGATTATGTAGAATAGGGGTATCAGCTGCAAATGAAATAAAAATATGATTTAAAATAAAATATTTCTGAGTACAGATTAAATTTAGAATTAATAATTTCATTCTAGGTCAATTTTTTAGCTTTAACAAACAGTATTGTAATTAAAAAAAGTAATTTCAAAGTAGTACTTTAGTATTTAATCAATCGTATATTATACTTTTAATTAGAACTAAATTTCACCTTTTTCATCATGATTCTGGACGTTCGACTTGTCTTGTTCATCTAGTCGATGTTCTGTAAACTATGATCATGCATTACCCTTCCCTTAATTTATATGTAAAGTAAATTGGAAATCAATCTTGAATGTGCAATAACTATCGGGTTTCTGGTGGAATTGGAGCATTGACAATAAATCTCGCGCCTCTCGTCTTTACTACGCCTTTATAGACTGGTTTAATTAGATTTGTTTTAATGCAAATTACTTTCTAAATTGTTCATTCACCTGTGCTTTGTTATTTAAAAAGGATACTGTTATGTATAAGATATACGTATAACATGTTTACATGCATGTATTCCGAAGGTAATAACGACGTGGCTAATTAAATCTATTCGTATATATTTTAGCGAACACATTGTCTTGTTTTTTAAAATATTTTGTTAATTTTTTTTATACTACTAGGGTGACAAGTAAGTATGTGATACCAGGGATGTCACGCGCGTGTTGCTGACCCTTGAGAAACCTTAACTAAATATTTTTGAAGAACCCCATGCTGTAGTATCTAGGAAAAGCCACGGTAGGAAAATCATACTTAATTTATAATTACCTTTGCCAATAATTGCCATGCTTGGCAGGCAGGTTGGGAACCTCAGTTAGTCTTTGGTGATGTTTTAAGAGAGACGCTGCTATCCATCTCTCAAGCATTAAGTACTCTAAATTGCCTCTTACGACACCCTCGGAAAAGAAGGGGTGCCAATTTTATAAATAACATAAATTTTGAATTCTATTTATTATATATAATATGCAATAAAGATGACAGGTGTTCCGATTTATTTATATACAAAGTTGCTGGATCTAGAAACTTGACATTTTGTATAAAGGTCTAGGGGGATGCCTCGTTAAGAGTTAGTGCAGAATTGTTTGCTCCATAGGGAAAGCAGTGCTTCTCGTTTCTTTGTATATTTTCAAACTCAACGTTAACAAAACTTGTTACGGAAAGAAGAAGTGTGATCTGCGGATTTGTAGACTTATTTTTAATTCTCGCATGTTATCACTAGTATTAATTGCATGATGCTCATCCAAAACCTAGTATAAAAATACTCTATAGGAAGATATGAGTAGGTGATGTCTAACAAGCCTCTTTTAATTCATTATTTCAACTGTTAACAGTAACATAATATTTCTAAATTGATATATATATATATAATCGAGAATTGATGACGTAAGCATGTAACATATATACAAAAACATATAGACAAATTACCAGTCGTTTAAAACGACAATGGACCGTAACACTAAATTCGCTTTTCATGATCAACAAAGATAGCTTAGAAACTACAAAACTACCAAATTAAGTAACGTAAGCAAGTTAACGGTTCAACTTAATTGCATAATAGTTTTTAAAGTGATGTTCATTCTTTAGACGGCTCTTATTAAATATTATGTAATTTTAACGAGCATCTTTGACCGAAACCGACCGGCCGTGGCATTGAACCTCATCCGCAATGCAGCCGTTGCACTCCGCCGCGGGGAACGCCGAATTCTGACAAGCTTCGCGATTGCATAATGAAGTTGGAACGGTTTAAAATGTAAACGAATAGCGATTACACTGTTGCAATATACAGTTAATGCGACATAAAGTTCAAGAGTCAGAAGTACATGTAATTTAATTCACTTAAAATAAAAAAAAAAATATATTGTTTCAAATTTTTTTAATAATTATTTTAATTCATATTTGCATAGCTGCATTTGTGTTACCGCAGTGAGTGTCTATGGATCTTTTCAATATTATTATCACTACTTATTATGTATAAAAACATTATGCACATTTTAATTGTATAAAAAATACTCTCAATGCTTTTTATTTTAATTGCCAATTCATAAAATTAAATCTGTATTTATCAAAATATCCTTTTATCATTGTATCTCACGCCATAGAGCTAGAATTCACCTTAAGTTCTTGAGTGCGTGACATACTACTATTGTACGAAATACAAGGAGCATTTCGTTCATTTCTGTCTAGTACATCTAGGTTGTGGAATGAGCTCTCGTCTTCAGTTTTTCCCTTACAATATAATATGGAGAATTTCAAAAAACGTGCGTACAAACATTGCAGGTACAAACTCTCGTATTGCAGGTGTTCATGGACGAAGGTAGCAGCTTTCTAATAGGTGAAACGTCTGCTCATTTGCTTTCCTAACAATAAAAAAAAATCAAGTAAATAGATGACATATCTACTGAATTCTTATCACTTGTACCACACCTTATTACATTGAAGGAGATAATTATATTTGAGATGATTCACACGTGAAATAAATGTTACATATTATAAGAAACCTCACAGTTTTAACAAAGATTAATTACAAGTAATTTATTTTGAAAAGAGAAATAGACGAGAAAGGTTATAAAGTTACGACTTTGAAAGAAGTGTCAAGACACAAGTTTATGAGTAGGTCATTATACTGTATTAAACTCTAGTATATATATATATATATATAGTGCAAGGTCACATCAGCTAGTAATTGGCTAAATATACGATTGATTAAATACTAAAGTACTACTTTGAAATTACTTTTATTTGTACAATACTGTTTGTTGAAGCTAAAAAATTTACCTAGAATGAAATTATTAATTCTAAATTTAATTCATACTCATATTTTAATTCACTATGGAATATAGATCAGATTTTTTTTAAATACATATATCTTATAAACAGTTTTAAAATTACAAAATGCATTATATTCAGTACTAACTACTTTCAGTACTTTCCGCTCGACACTTCGTATGCATGGATTTCAGTAGATGGCGTACCAAGATAAAATATACTCTTGAATTTTCACTGACAATTTTATATTGCTCTCATGAAACAGCAGTTAGGAATTAGTTTATAATTGGAATCGGTTTACAATAGTTTGCATTGGCAAGTTACACTAATATGCATCTATCAGAACAATATGGAGCCATTATGTCGCTAGTATTGCAATCCGAGAGTGTGGCACGTCTCAATTACAATATCGATTGATTTATTTCAAAAGTAACCCCACTGACTTTAAGCTAAACCTTCAAGAATATTTCAGGTTTTCCCAAGAGACTACAGATTTTTCAATTTAAACCTTCAAGCGCGCGTATACATAGCTACGGTAACCGCTTACCATCAGAAAACTGCACTCAATTTAAAAAAAATATATAGCTGAAAACTGCACGCAATTTACTGCAGTACTTTTTGCGTGATACCGAAATAAACACACATACAGATAGACGGGTAAACAATATTTCGTAAAAAGAATATTTTGGTTTATATTTCTCTTATTAAGGCTCCTAATATCAATTTATTTTTACTAGAAAGATGATTTATTTTAGAATAAATATTGCAAATATTAATTAAATGAAATTAAATTATAATCATTGCATTGCATAAATACGTTGTGCATCATATTGCATTGCAGGGAGTTAGTGGATGTAGGTGGCTTAGGACCGTTCTTTATGGCAGTCTATGGGGGAGGCTTATATCCAGCAGTGGACGAATAATGACTGAAATGATGATGATTATGACAAAATTATAATAAACTTACTGTTTTTCATGGTTTTGCCTGCGTGAATTAGTATATTTAAAATATTCGATAAGTTAGAATATATCTACCTGTGTAACAAATTTTATTTAAATCTATTAAATCCGTTTAAGCATGACTATAACAAACAAACATAAGTATTGTAAGATAAATCAATAGCTGAGTAATGTACTCGTATAGAATTATACTTAAACATACATATTTTAATATCATAATGTTAATCCTTGTCAAGGCCGTCTCGTGCAGCGTTTATTTTTTTATAATCAAATATTGTACACAATTCTAATTAATTACAACAATTATACACCTAAATTATATTCACAATGCAAATCAGATTAATTTAATGGCTAAACAAGTGAAAAATTTGCCTAATTATATAATAAACAACATTACATTAATTGAACAGGAAGCGTTACAGTTTTAAAAGCGTGGCAAATTAAAATTTATTATTTACGCACATGAATAAATTTAATTGTAGATGGCGCGGTGGACCTCTGAGAGTATAGTACTATAGGTAAAATATTCACACTTGTAATGTTAATAGGTATATGTAGTTTTTAATTTACGTAAATAGGTATATAAATTAGGTTAGATACTGATAAAGTTTTTTTTATATACCATTACATTTATAAGTGGATACGTTTATTACATTTTAGATTGTTACATTTGAATAGATCTCTGTCCAGTAATGGATAGCTAACGGCTGTAATGGGGGGGGGGGGAAGGGATTGTTAGTAATGAAGACAGAGAATCCCATTGCTAGCAATATACCCAACCAGGTCGACCTCATCGCGGTTCCCCCTGGAAACTATCATGGTTGATTCCTGATGAATTCATCATGATGGGCTAACTGGCCTGTTTTCATTCTCATCTATCACCCTTCACTGGTGCTGCGCCAGCGTATCCCGTTAGCGCAGGCGGGGTTCATTTTCATTCATAAAAAAAACAAATGGCTGTAATGGTGATGATGATGATGATTTAAATAAACAGACCTATATTTAACAGTGGGCAAAAAGGGATTCCTACAGCCCCATTCCCCACCCGCGCTATCGGTATACACTGGCGAATAAAATATATTAAAAATATATTCAAGCTATATTCGTTGAAAAAAGTTATTGAATTTGATGACTATTGGATTGAACTACCTACTTGATAGACAATTTCAGGTCGACCACGTGTATAAAGGCCATTGTGTTCAGACTTTTTCACAAATGGATTAACGTTACCTTCATTCTCACCTACAAGTATCATCCCTCACTGGTGCCTAGTCAGCTTTAGCGCAGATTGATTTATCATTCCATTATCATTCATTAAAAAAAAAACAGTAGTTAACTTATGTTAATGATGATTTAAACAAAGGAAACAGTTGGGCATCTCTGTACCATTCGTGTTTCTACCCATTTAGGTATCATGGGGGAAACTATACTCTGTTATGCGTCTTTAGGCGACGGTTACCACTTTCCATCAGGTGGGCCGTCAGCTTGTTTGCCATTCTAAGTAGCATAAAAAAAATCTTAGATTAATTTTGTAT